AAAAAAAACCTAAATAGGATTAAAACATATCAAATATACCTAAATAGGAGTCCAAAACATAAATTCCCCAAATAGGACTTAGTTTGCATGGCCAAATACCCTACCCTCCCTCTCATCTTGCCGCAAACCTTTATTTACCAAACATAAAATAAGTATATTACTATTAAAGTTAAGTGTTGCATTATTGTTGACATAAGGTGGCCATTTACAATATGAAACTTTAGTTTTCTCATTTACACGTACAACAATTTATAAGAGTCCCTAAAGTTGGTCATGTATATGCCAATTTGTGGCACTGTACACATCGTTGAATGACAAAAGTTATTTAAATGAAACGAAATTATGAAATAAAAGTGTCAAGAAGGAGGACATTTTAAAAAGTACATTACATCTTAGTACAAACAATTTTAACACAACTAAATCATACTAAAAAAAGTCATGTAATGCAACATAAAGTGATATCAAATAGTGTTTGGATCTTCCNAAATCATAACAAGATAAGCCGGGATGTCTCCTAACAGCAGCCACCGCATGAACGCAAATAAATTGATCCAATTAGAATTCACAACATGTCCATGTTTTGTCCTTTAAACTCATATGGACATGTTGACTTTAAATGCATAACAAAAAAATAAAAATATGCAATGGTTAATATGCAATTAAAAAAATTCATGATAGTCCAACAAAGTATGTAATGTGGATATTACCAGTGTCATAATTTGTAATGTGGTGATGAATATTACGAACCATTGTAATGTAAAGTATCACAGTATGTAATGTGGTAATGTGTATTACAAAGAGTTGTAATGTAAACGGGGCAGATTGTGAATTGTGACACGGAAAGGAAAAAGAGGGTAAAATCGGGAGAGAAAGAAAGAATGTGGCGGGAGAGGTCTTATTTGGGAGATAAAAAACATGAACTCCTATTTTAGGGATAAGCACAATGTTTTAGTTCTATTAGGGGTGATTTCTATATAATATTTTGATCAATTTTACTTTTTTGTGCAATCAATTATACTTAAAGTAAATGAAAGTCCAAAACAACATTTGAATAACATAAATTAAACTTTGCTTTATAAATTGGGCAATGCTAGGGGTACACCAACATAGGGTACCCCAAGTGTACACCAAGCCAACACAGACACACACAGACACAAAATGTCTGTGCAACACAGACACTTTGTGTCTGTGTGTGTGTTGGCTTTAGTGTACACTTGGAGTACCCCATGTTGGTGTACCCCTAGCTTAATTCTTATAAGAGTAAATTCCATAATTGGTCCTTTATAACATGGGGATTTCCATATTTAGTCTTCTATTATCAAATATTACCCCCGTAGTCCTTTTTTTATGGGTACCTTTCCACAAATGGTCCTTTTTTGATCTTCTGCTGTGTTGGTGTTAATTTAAAGACTAAAAATATAATTTGACGTCAACATTATGTCTAGTAACGTGTTCTGATATTGGTTAAGCGGATAACACAAAAATAATGATTATGATTGTGGACTAGGATTCTGACGAAAGATCACATTTGTAGACTATAGTTGTCGTAAAAAGCGACTGTAATTCACAAACAACGCAAACGGAACAGCCTTTGGAATTGTGTATGACAAAAAAGATATATTATCATTGTGAAATTACACTTTTAGCCCTCAAATTAACACCAACATGATAGAAGATCAAAAAAGGACTATTTGTGGAAAGGTACCCATAAAAGAAGGACCACTTGGGTAATATTTGATAATAGAGGACTAAATAGGGAAATCCCCTGTTATAAAGGACCAATTATAGAATTTACTCTTCTTATAAATTAACTCATTTTTGTGCATATAAAGTGGGTCAATTAATTAGAGCACGGAAAGTCTCCAAAATGCACGTGTATGTCTTCCCGCATATCGGACAAAATCATGGGGGTTCGATTTCCATGCCACACTGACATTAAGACAGCCATGTTAGAAGATCATCTTTTTTTAGACAAATGCATTTCTCATACACACAAATACGTACTACTTTGTTGCAAAAAAGTTGAAACCTCAACTTCAACTAAACTATAGGCACGTGGAGGGAGGTAAATCAGGAACTCAGCTCCCTGTTAAAAGATGAGGTCAGCCTACAGACATGCCAGAAGCCATTCTTATATCTCAAAATGGCCTTAGAAATATCACTCCTGACTATATGTCGCGGGAAATCGACCCTTGCGAATTGTTGCAAATCTACTCCTTTCATTCCAAAATTATGATCTCACTTCGAACAACGTGCAAAATTACGTCTCTTTTAAATCAATTTTGTTTATAATTTGGTATAGAAATTATCAAAACTTTTATAAAACCAAAGGTGACAAGAATCCTTTATTTTATGAACTGATAAACGAAAACATGTAAATAAACAAAAGTTATCGAAAGGAAAGAATTGTAACTCTGACGATAATTCTAGGACGGAGCGAGCATAAAACAAGATGTAACATGAATATTTTATTTTATCAAATATAATTATTAAATGATAAAACAACTTGATTACACGCATGTGATCAATGAATTTAAATCCCGAAAAGGAAAATATATTGTGAGTTAATTGATTTTTTCAAAATTAATTTTATTCGAAAATAGGTTAGGAGTAAAAAGTTAGATCTATATTTTTTAAAGTGACATCAAAAGTTTTAACTTGTCAATCTTTGTTCCAATTAACAACCATAGCTCCTTTGAACCATTTTTTAGAGCATTATTTTTCGGAGGGATTATCTTTTTTCCCGGAGAAGCCCAAAAAAAGAGTAACATAGATCAGTTAGTTGTTGTATTGGGCCGGATAATTGGTTTGGCGTAATTCTTTCCCCGAGGCCTGATTAAACTATATTAAGGGGTCAGGCCAAATTAAGTACGGATCATAATATGGAGAATTTAGTTAAATAGCATTAAAATATAATAACTTTTCATAAATAGCATCATATGTGTTTTTTCTCAATGTAACACTTTTAGTCATTATTCATGTAAATGTTCGCCATTACTGGACATTATTCCTCCTTTTATATATTATTAAGTGCTATTTAGAAAAATAAAAATAATTTAAGTGTTATTTAAGAAAATGACTTAAGTTTTAGTGCTATTTAGTACAAATATTTCTTATAATATTGCTTCCGTCCCGAGGAGAATTGCACTCTTCTCTATTTAAAAGGCACAAAAAATTTTATTGATAAAATAATATTTGTGCATTTCAATTGATTATTTGATAAAATAAAATATTTTTTCTTACATCTTATTTTGTAGAATATTTGACGTAGTTTTTAAATACGTAAGTTTTATTTTTTAATTTCTATACCAATCTTTAAATAAAATAAATTTAAAAAATTTAAAATTTCATTTTGCGTAAAGGACAAACATTTTGGGATGGAAATATTTAAAAAAAACTTTTGGAGTTATCTTTGAATATTTAAATGAAAAAGAAACAAAAAGGAGTCATTGCACTGGACTTTTTTTCGTTGCTGGCTTCCCACTCAAGCGCCACATGCAATGGCGATTCTAAATTTAGCCCCTCCCCCAACTTTGTTCTCTTTCCTGCATTCTCTCTCCCTTTTGTGAGACAAATCGGTCAAATTTTAAGTATTAATTATTCTGAATTTATATTGTATTTTAATACATATATTGTATATTAATACAAAGAAATAAATTTTTAAAAGTTCTAAGTAAATTAAATATATTAAAATTACTTTTATACTCAATTACATTATAATTTTTACTTAAACACAATTCAAAGTTCGTACAGTTTGCCCCAAAAAAGTCAAACTGGACGAATACTCTGAGACGGAGTAATATCAACTCAATTACGAGTATAATGAGTAGTACTACCTCCGTCCCATTGTCTTTGTCCAGTTTTGACTTTTGGAACTGTTCATCTAAGCACTTTGACTCATCAAATTCTCTCAATGTGTAAGCCTAAAAATAGTCATGTGTGATCTTGTTTGATTCGCCTTAACATATAGATTATTAATATATAATTTTTATAATTTTTTAATATATAAATTACAAGATAAAATGGATTAAAGAAGTGCATTGGATGGTGTGCCAAAAGGTAAGTGGACAAAGACAGTGGGACGGAGGGAGTATTTGTTTAATGACGCACAGAGAGCCAACGTTCCCGCCTCTGTTGGAAGTCGAACTTGGTGAACTTCTTTATTATTCTTGGGGAGTGAGTTTTCTACCACTCATATACTCTGTATTTTTTATTCAACTAGTACTCTGACCCGCACGGGGTCGAACAAATGTATTTTATTTTACAAATTTTTTTCAATTTTTTTTGCACGGTAAATACACCATTTATTACTACAGAAAATTACTCACATGTGAAGCAGGTTTTGTCGAAATAACTCTCAGGTCCTTCTATTCTCAATTTATTTTATTAACTTTTACCCGTTAGAAGGGCCTGTTATTATTATTTTCTAATCTCATCATATACATATCCTTATTGAATATACTCCGTATTACAGAGTATGTATCAAAACAATTTGATTTCAACACTGAGTTGCTTCAAAAAAAATCTATCCACCACTATTGGCACTAAGAATTGTCATAAATTCATAGATGATTTTCTTCAAAGTAAATAAAATAATGAATTTTCAAAATAAATATTAAAAATTCATAGACTATAAAAATGCTATTCCAATACAGATGGTAGTGATATAAGCCATAAATGATTCATGTTCAAACTAAATTTTATCATCAATTTTAAGTCAAAGCACGAATAAACACTACTCGAAGATTCAAGTAAAATATCAATTGTACTTCGAAAAACAATAAAAGCAGAGCAACCGAAGAACCTGTTGGAAAATGAAAGGATCAAATTGTATTAACTAGTTCAAATTTTGTATTACATGATTAACTCCTATATATAGAAAATGAAAAACAAGTAACAACAAAAAATATCTTCCTAACAAACTAACAAACTGTGTAACTAATCAACTAAACAAGATAAATGGTGGTTTACACCAACACCCCCCCTGAAGTTGAAGGTGGGAACAACTTTAACTTGCAACTGAGTAAGATCCTTGTTGACTGCTTTGTGTATGTAAATGAAGATCCTGTTGACCATGCATAAACAACACACTTTTCTGCCCAGCATGTCATAAGTGCTCTTCTGTAAGCTGTTGGAACATCAAGGTGCCAATGAACTTGATCTCCTTCCTGGTAATAATACCTCCCTGCTTTGGTTTTGTGATGAGACCACCAATGAGCAGTGTTGAAAACTAGAATATCAGCACCCCTGAATCTGGATGAACTAGTGATGAGTGATGAACTAGTGATGGCTGCAATGGTTCTCCAAAATGAACAGAAAAGCGAACCATACAAAACCGATGATGAAGTTGAGATGACAAATCAATTGATGAATTCACACGAAAACATCAAAGGATGAAATGAAATCAATTGACAAAAGCAATTGATGAAATCAACCGAAAACCGGATGATGATGAAAGTGAAACTCGATCAAAACGATACGAGTGAAACTCGATTAAAACGATACGAGTGAAACTCAATCAAACTGACTGAGTGAAACTCAATTGAGTGAAACTGAAACAGTGATGAAACTTCTGAATTACAGAAGTGAAGGGAAAAGATTGAACTAAACATTTCAATCATGAGAATAAGAATGAAATTGGATACTCAATCTGAGAACCAATGTAATGAACAGAAGATCAATAAGGATCAGTTATGATGAAGATAAAACAGAGATGACAAAGTCAAAAATGAAGAATATGTTTTGAATTTATTCAATCTCTGATGAAATCTGATGAGGATGAAATCAGATTGACAATGATATTCATGTCATAAAACTGATTTAATGGAAGACAGAAACTCAAATGCAAGAATTACAGATTTGCATTTGATAATGATGAATCTGATTTTGCATTTCATGGAGCACAAGACAATGAACATGACCTGAATTGGACAGATGAAAAGTCCATAAGTGAGGATCTTCTGAGACGGAAGTTTCCTTAGGGATGCGCTCTGGCGTCGACGGAGATCCACGGATATGAGCCTGGTGGAGTGCGTGGGGGAAGAGACCTCCGGCAGCGTAGTTTTGCCTCGGATACAAAATCGACGGCGAGATTGCGGAGAGATGGACCAAGAAGAAGCGGATAGAAGAGGTGGCAGATCTGAATTCCCATGTCGAGCACAAAGATGAATCGATCAGGAAGAAGACAGAGAGAACGGTTTCTCCACCGTCTACGAGATCGTTCGAGAGATCGGAGGTGAAAATCGCATTGTTCAAGAGACCAGAGCCGTTTCTTCTCAGAGCTGTCAACATCGAGTCCATCTCTCGCCTCTACACAGCGGAGACGGCGCCGGATTGGTTGAGGACGACGATGAGCAGAACGGCGGCAATAAATCCAGAGGTAATTGACGATTTAGCTTCTTCATCGCCGGCAATTTCTATGAGTTAAATTGAAGATGGAGAAGGATTGGGAAGCTTAAAATGGTGCGAGAGAGAAAATTGAAGATAAGGAGTCGATTGCTTGGAGCTTAGAATCAAATTGTATTAACTAGTTCAAATTTTGTATTACATGATTAACTCCTATATATAGAAAATGAAAAACAAGTAACAACCAAAAATATCTTCCTAACAAACTAACAAACTGTGTAACTAATCAACTAAACAAGATAAATGGTGGTTTACACCAACAAAATTATATGTAGTATTATTTTTTTAATCTTGACACCATGTCTTGTTAATTGATTCATTACCACCTTAATCTTCAGTTTTTTTATCGCTTGCATTCTCCTTTTTTAGAGTAGAAAGTACGTGGGTATATCATCTTCAAGTTTGGAAGACCAATTGTCCCCAGATTCCACAAAATGATCGATTAAATCCTGCAAGACAAATGATCGATTAAATCCTGCAAGACAAATGTACAACTATTAAATCCCATTAGCAGTCCTCCCATCTCCATTGCTTTTCTACCACTTCAATTTCAAAACCAATTCCCAAATATTAACAACTATATTAAGAAATTCAAACAAAAGTTAAGGGAGACCCACTCACATTAGAATGAAATATGGGTAGTGCATCAAACTGACTTTCTGAAACCCTCAATGGATCACCATCGGTCTCCAATCTCTGAAGATCCAATGAGTTTTTTTATAAAAAGAACTTAGCATATAAAAAAAGAAGTGTTACCTCTTTTTTGAATCTGCATTGTAAGTGCTGCACTGGTATCCTCCATGGGCGAGGCTAGGCTCAAAATCCTAGCTCGGACTTGTTGTCACCTCTGCTAGCTTATGCCCCATCGATGTATCGTCAGATTACAAAGCCGGTGGCTAGAGTTCCAAACCTAGCCTTTGCGCCAAGATTCGATCTGGTCCACATTCCACCATAGGTGTTGCCTTAGATGGTTGAGGGTCGAACAACGACATGGGGATGCTATGTGACCTAATATGTTGGTAAAGTTTTCTCTCTACGTCATGTTGTATATTTCTGCCTACGACATGGTTATCTCGTAGTATATTTTCACCTGCGTCATTCTAGATGATAGTTTCAAACAGAAATTAGTGAATGCTTCCACAAGTAAGAGCTCAGTAAATTTTTGCATCAAACTTTATTTCCATTAACATACACCAATCAAATATGGTACAAAAGTATGAAGTTGAATAAAGTTCGAAGTATGCAATGACTATAGGATAATATCATAGCTCATTCCCCGCACCATAGTCCTCATAAACCATCAGCTTTACAAAATATGATGGCAAAACACACCAACAGATTACAAAATTTTTCTGAACTGCAGTAATTTTCTCCATAAATAGACAATTTTTAAAAATCAAATAAAATTGATAAATCATCAAACTGAATAATAAGTTAATAAGCAGACATGGTGTTTCAAATTGAGATTGACCTTTAGATCTAAAAAAACACATCCTACAATATATTATTATTAAAAATATCCCAATTAAGGGGCATCAAGCAACCATATCTCAACTCTGATGAAGACGATTCAAGTTGCGTGTGCCTAATTGTCACTCTAATCAAACCATGGGTTCCACTAATCATTAAAATATATGATCTTTTAAAGTGTGGGTCGGCAGATGCATGATCTAGGAATCACATGGACTGTTATAGCGTATGAAAATTATAGGTGATTTTTAAAGGGACCGGTGATCTTTTTTGACACAATAGCATTGAGATGAGAATTAAAAAATATATTATATACAGAAGCATTAATATCATACATACTTACCTCACAATATTTTTATCATCTCGTCATCTCGAGACATGATTTATGCAACAGATATCCAATATCTTAAAAAATGACAACAATAGCATTGTCTAAAGTGTCAATTACTCTAGTCTTAACTCGTACATGTTTGTCATCATTCAATCTCCGGAAGAAAATTTGGGCAAAAAGCTTTCCTTTCCTTTGTCCATTCCTTCTTTGAAAAGCTGTTTTGAGAAGAAGTTTCCTTTTGGATCGCTGTTGTAAATTTGCGTTGGGAAGTTCGGTTGATACGACACGTGTAGGCTTAGTTGTCAAAAAAATAGGAGTCTAAATTTGTCACATGTCAACATTCTAAGCATCAAACTCTCAAATATTATATTAAATGATTTCATGACCCTATTGTGGATAGTATGAGTTTCCTGTCCAAAATTTGACTCACTTAGAGAGTGTTTGGGAGTGATTAACTTTTGGATAAAGTAATTTGTACAAAAGTTGAAAGCAAAAACACTTTATACCCGCTTCTCTTAAACGGTGTTCTATGCACAAAATTGTGGTGATGAAAAGCAGAAGCTGACATGCCAAACAGAGTAAAATCACTTCTACTCAAAAAAGAAGCTAAATTTTTAAAAGCAGCACACTGCCAAACACCCTCTTAGTCCCCAAAAGAATGTTGACGTTTATTATCTATAAATTACTAAATTTTTATTTATACTTTTTTGTCAGATGTTGTTTTGAAGAACTTTTTATACTCCGTATGATTTTTAAATATTTAAATTATTGTTTTTATTTTATATAAATTTTTAAATAAAATAGCTTTAAAAACTCAAAATTTTAATCGGTCTCGACAAAGTCCAAACATTTTGGGATGCCCATATTCGGTCGGGCGTACACAAAGGGGGTGTTGCGCTTTTTTTAACCGACACACGTGTCACCACCACGACACCACACGTACACAGTACACCAACATCACAATCAGGCCAGCCATTAACACAAATTAAAAATAAACTTGACCAATGCTAGGGGTACACCAAAGGTGTACCCCAAATGTACACCACCCCCTTCTCTATCATCTATTTTTATTTTATTTTTAATTATTCATTTTTTCTAAACTTCTTGCTTTTTTTTGTGGACAAGGAAGAGGTGTGGGACAAATGGGGTACACATTTGGTGTACCCCTAGCATTTTTCAATAAACTTACATATTCGAAAAGTACTTAAAATTTCTACAAAATAAGAAATGACTAAAATATTCTATTTTTTTCAAATAATCAAGAAAATATATGAATAAATAAAAGTTTTTGTAACTATTGAATAGTGAAGACTGAAAAATACTTCCTCCGTCCCAAAAAGTTTTACACATTTTGACTAAAGTGGAAATTAAGGGAGAGATAATTTTGTGTTGACTTTCCAAAAATAACCTTGATTTGATGTGTAAAATTAGGATGTGATGTGTAGATTATAAAGAAAAAGGTATGATGTGATAGGTAGGGTTTGAAAAAGTAAGGGATAAAAGTGGTTTTTTAATAGAAATTGATAGGAGATTGTGAGACGCAATTTTTTTGAAAGATGTACATCTTTTTGGGACGGAGAGAGTAATTTTTTTGGGACGAAGGAAATTATACTCCCCACTTTATTTCTTTGTTTGGGATGGAGGTAATAGAATTGAAAAAGAATCAACCAAATATCATTAAAAGTTACCACCTACTCCCTCCCTCTCCCAGTTTTTGTCCATTTTCATTTTTGCACACCATCCAATGCACTTCTTTAATCCATTTTATCTTGTAATTTGTATATTAAAAAATTATAGAAATTATATATTAATAATCTATATGTTAAGACAAATCAAACAAGATCACACATGACTATATTTAGGCTTACACATTGAGAGAATTTGATGAGTCAAAGTGCTAATTAGATGAACAGTTCCAAAAGTTAAAAGTGGACAAAAACTGGGGGACGGAGGAAGTATGTCCCAATTTTATTTGTTCCGTTTTTAAATACTTGTTACCAATCATGATCGATTTTTGACCAACAGTTAAGTAAAAGTTAAATGATACATTAATTAGATAAAATAATACGGAGTATTGAAAATATTCTACAAGATAAGTAACCTACTAAAATTATTCGTGTATCAATATGTTACTCCGTATCTTTTAACCTAATAAAAATATTCTCTATCTACCGTCTACTTATTCCGTCTACTAGGTAATCCGTTTGTGACATGATTGGAGATGTTTCAAATAGAGTTGCTAGCTAGACATTATTCTTAGGAAAATGCTACATGTATATCATATTTGTACCCCATTTTATATCTTAAGGCTTTGCCCTGACATTAAATGTAAGTATAAAATTGTTATTATGTCAGTGTTGCACCTAAATTTTATGTCAGGATAAAGCTTTGGGGCAAAATGGAGTACAAAGTGGAGTGAAGGTAGCATGCTCCTTATTGTTATGGTCCTTAATTAGCGATTTCGATCTCGTTTGGCATGAGCGTTAAAGATCAACGTTAGCATTTTGAAAAAGTTGTGTAACGGTAGCCTTTAACGTTAATATTTTCATAATTAATCTACACTATCAAAATTTAATATCTAAAACGCTAACGCTAATTAGAAACGTTGTTCCCAATTAAAGCCAATTAAAGATCACATATAAAATTTATTCTAACATATACTCCGTAGTAATCTGTTTTGACACGATTGGAGATGTTCTAAGTTTCTTCTTTTTACGGTTATTAGTTTATTCTAAAATTACTTCTCATAGTTAGTTTCTCATTTCTTAAAGAAAAAACTTCGTATTTATGTTTGTTTCATTTGTTCCGGTATTTACAATAATGAAACAATTTTAATTTCTGTTGTTTCATAAATCATACTCTCCTTGATTACTTGTCTACTTTTGACTTTTTTTTTGTCAAAGTTGATATATTTTGACTTCAAACTAAATAAAAATCATATTATATGTTTTTACAAAAATAATTTTACTAGATTTATTATGTAAAATATTTTTAAAATACTACTCCCTTTGTTCTATAAAAGTGTTCCTATTTTGACTTTCTGTAAAAATAAGAAATTGTTAAATTGTAGTTGACTTCCAATTTTGCTCTTGATGTGATGGGTAAAAGTAAAATGTGATTGATTGAGTATTAGAGAAAAAGTATGATGTGGTAGGTAGAGTATGAAAAAGTAAGAGTAAAAGTGGTTTTTTTAATAGAAAGTGAAAGTGTTTTGTTGGAAGTAAATAATAAAAGAGGAAGAGTTTTTGAGAACAACGAGAGTATTTTATATAATTATTATACAATATATATTTTATTTAATTATAGGTTGGATATTGAAAATAGTTAATTGGAAAAAATAAAAATTGGACAAATAATGTTGGTGGCAACTGGCAACTTTCTAACGTGAGAAACATAAATCAAGAGGGAGAAGTTGTCCGCAGTAAATACCAAATAGAGCAGCTACACATTATTGTAGGTGCTTGTCGACTAGCACGACGAGTTTGACCAATTCAAAACGTGTGGTGCCAACTTGCTAATTTGTGTTAAAGAGAGAGGTGAAGGAGCAATAAAAAATGAGATTTGTTTCTAGTTCCAGCAAAAATGTTTAATTTATATAAAACATAAATCATCCCACACGAGTCTTCGCTAAGCTTGATTCCTGACAGGTGTACATATATATATATAGTACACAAACCAAAACTATATATCCCACCCCAAAACTCATCATATCACCAAACCAGCACCATATGGCTTGTCCTCCTCCTTCCATGTCCTCATTTTCCCTCATCATTCCCATTTTAGCCCTGTCCTTATTACTACCCCACAACGCCATCGGCCAGAAATGCAACCCCAAGGAGAGAGACGTCCTCCTGAAAATCAAAGCCCACTTCAAAATCCCACCCTCCCTGTCCTCGTGGGACCCCAACACCACCTCTGACTGCTCTTTCTGGGACGGCATTGGCGCCGACGACCAAGGCCACGTCACCAGGCTCCGGATCAACAACGCCAACGACATCGCGGGCCCCATCCCGCCCTTCCTCGACGGGCTCCCCTTTCTCAAGACCCTCGACTTCAGCGGCGTCCCCAACTTGTCGGGCCCCATCCCCACGTCCATTGGCAACTTCAGAAACCTCACGAGCCTTACCATTTCCGGGTCCAAAGTCACCGGGCCCATACCTTTGGGCTCCGTGGGCCGGCTCACGACGCTGGACATGCTCGACCTCCGGTCCAATCGTCTCAACGGTTCCATCCCTTCGGACTTTTCCCGGCTAACCCGGCTCACCTACTTCAACCTGAACTCCAACTTACTCTCTGGGCCGATCCCGGATTTCATGGGCCGCAAGCTCACCAAACTAAACTACATCGGGCTCGAGTCCAACCGACTGTCCGGCCCGATACCCGCTTCCTTCGGCCTGTTGCCCGTTCTGACCACGCTCCACCTCTCCAAAAACCAACTGGCGGGGCCCATCCCGGACCCTCTGGGGAGGGTCGGCGTCATGTCGTCGGTCGACATCTCGCACAACGCGATCGCCGGAGACGCGTCGTTTCTGTTCGACAAGAAGTACACGGCGCTGTCGTTTCTGTACGTGAACGACAACATGCTGAAGTTCGACTTCTCGGATGTGGAGTTGACGCCGACGCTGGCGATATTCAACGTGAGCCACAACATGATACATGGGTCTCTTCCGAGGCGGTTTGGGCAGATGAAACCGGACATTAACTACGTCGACGTGAGTTTCAATCGGCTCTGCGGTCCGATTCCGAACGGCAGGCGCTTCAAGAAGGCGGATCCGGCCATCTTTGCGCACAACAAATGTCTCTGCGGTGGCCCTTTACCTGCTTGTAAATAATGAGGATTCCCTAAGACTAGTGTCTTTCATTGTGGTTTTCACAAATAATAATTTTGGAGAGAAGATAGTGACAATTGTATGATTGACTCTGTTTTTTCCTCTTGGGATAAAATAATATTTTGAAAATATTTGATGTAATAAATCTAATAAAACTATTTTTGTATCAATATTTAAAGATTATTCATTTTTTATTTAATTTAAGATCTAAGTTTATCAATTTTTTTCAAAAAAATAAAAAATAAAAAATTGACAAATACTCAAACACGACGGAGTGAGTATTAGTCATACGTAAGCTTCTTCCCTCTCTAAAACAATGTTTCTAATTATTACGGAGTACTAATAAGTAATACTCCCTCCGTCCTTCTAAAATGTTCTCATTTTGACTTTTGGTGGTTTTTAAGGAGAGTTGAAAAAAGGTGAAAGTTTACCCATAATACCCTTAATGAAAATGGATAGAGTGTATTAAATGAGGTGGGTGAGGTGTAATAAATAAAGTAAGTGAGGGTAGTTGTAGTATTTTAATTATTAAAAAATGAAACGAGAAGATCTATTGTGAACAAAGAAAAAGGACTATTGGGAAGATCTATGAGGAACGGAGGGAGTAACTCGTACCAGAACTACTCAGGCATCTATAAACTACATGACCCAAAAAGAGTTGATACAACTTACAAGTAAAGAAAACAAGTTAAACAACTACCATTCACAAAGAATAAATCCACTTCTATCCCAAAAATTGTACCCAATAGTTTAAACTTACATTTTGTGTCAATATAATTAAATACGAGATTAATTATTAACATTAACATAAAATCTCAGTGCAAAATTTAATTTTATGTCAATGTAAGCCATCAAAATGTAAGTAATATAAATCATCACAAACGATAAAAGACCACAACCAATAAATTTGGTTTTTTGAAAAAGACCATTTACATATATTCTTTCCATATAATATTAATATAATTTTACAGAGTATATATAAACATCTATTAACAAACATAATGTCTAATCACTACCGTGTCCGTCATAAATTACATTTCCCACAATTTTGAGACGTTTGAAAATAAAACTTTCATTCTTTTATAAGAAAGATTATCATGATTTATATTACGGGCATTTCATTTTCATTTATATTACTCCGTGAATATAAAAACTTTATCTTTTTTAACTCCGTAAAAATTTGAAAATCAAATAGGAACCTGATTTTGAGATGGAGGAGGTATATCTTTCTCCATTTATAAAGGGCTTTCAACAATCAAATATATATAGGTAATCTCTGCTTTGAGCGAATATGGAACACATGCCCACATAAACGGATACGGTAATCAAAGTTTCAGCTATCAACTTACATCCTTTCAATGGGGCACCAAGGAAGTATTTTTTTTCACTATCACTCTTCCCCCATCTTTAAGTAATCCCATATCTCCCGGCTGGTAAAGGTCTAAAGCTAAACTTATTTGAGAACTAGAGAAAGGAAGGAGCAAAGCAATGGCTAAAAGTGACAATGAAAAGTACTCCCACCATTAGCAATTGCATGAATACTGAAGTGAAGTACTAACCTTCATGAAGGTGACCAAAATTCAGGCAGAAAATTTACAATAGATGTTAGCTGAAGGCCACTAAAGCTACAAATGGAAGTTTGATGAAAGTTCAAGTGTGATACTCTGTATTTGCTTTCCTTCTTTGAGGTTTTATAGTCCCCTAGTAAAGTATTGGAGAAGTTCAAATCTGGTTTACACAAGCATACTATGACTATGAGTTAGCTTTGGCATATCCGCTAGTTTCCTCTGCCACTTTTGCCCATTCTGTTCCAATTTTTTCGAAGCAAGCGACCTGCAATATCACAGCAAGTCTTATTAAATACGGAATATATTTATTAAACTCCACTAAACATCAACTTACTTGGTACTTCATATGCAAGAGATACATTTTCTTTGTGGCTAAAATGAGTGAGATGAGACCTCACTTTCATTTTTAGATACTCCGTATTATTATTTTTGGAGTCATATTTTGTTTAGAAATATATTAAAAGATGTTTTCAGATCACTTGGCACATTCAATCAATTTATAACCATTCAGTCATTTTAGCCATTTCATGGCTTACGATTAATTATTTTCAAATAATGCAGCTTGCTCACACAATATGGGAAAGGATGGAGAAATCTTCCAACCTTAGATAATCCATTCACTTAGAAATGCAAATGACCTCCATTTAAACACTAGATTTATACATTAAACTTCATCTAGAACCCTATGGTGTACTTCGGCAAGTACACATGACGTAATGAAATGTAATGCAATTAGATTTACACAAAATATATTTACACCATTACATTACATTACATGTTGTTAGAGTATTACAAAATTACACACAGTTATTTATGTATAAAGCAGAAAACGTGATCAAGCCAGAGTGCTTAACAAAATGGTCAGAGCATGACACATTACATTGATGTCCAATGTCATAAACGAAGAGGTTTTACTGACCAGCATGCCAAATAATTATAGCAGCTAGTGCTCACAATGCAGGATGCAATGGAGCCTGCGGAGTGCAGACTACCCAGCATGAGAGATGGACGAAGATACAAGTACAAATTTCAAGATATCAATGGCCAATCAAAACCATTAAGAAATATGGCATAAGGTTACCTGACTAATCACAAATCCTTTCAACATACTTGTGAAGTCTTTGCGCCTTTCTCTATCTAGTCTTTCAATTTCACTTCTATTATTTTCCTGAAGTCCCACAAATTTTTAGATTACGGAGTATATTGTATGATAATAAAGATACACATAATAGAAAAACCATGTCATGGGTTTGGCCTCAAGAAAAGATCAACAATAGCTTCTATATTTTAACACACTGACATGCATATTTTGGTTATACTAGCAATTCCACCTTGATACGTTCATATTCTCTGATGGCACAGCTTTTGGCATCCTCTGTGGCTCTGATAGCATCTTTCAATTCATCCATTTTTTGAATCTTTGATCTTTCACCTCCAATTTTTTGGGAGATGTTGTTTCAAGTTTCTTGGCCTTTGAATTTAGAGAGGACAAATCCGATAGAAGATTCTGTACTGTTAGTAGAGCGCTTGAACGATCGAAAAATGTATCATGCACTGCCAACATTAACCCCAGATGCTCATGACGTACATCCTGCAAACAGTATATTTAAAATTTTCACACCCATCTAATATATAACAGAATGTTGACGGAAGTTTCAAAGATAAACTGCCTCTTTACAAATATGGAACTTTTTTAACTTCAAGAATTTATATCGTATCCCAAAATTATTTCACATGCCAAATACGGAGCATGTTAGAAGGAAGATTTAGTTACCAAATGCTTCACACTCTGTGTATTCAGTTCCCGGTACAATCTGCTCACTTTGACAGCTGCAGTTGCCACATTTTTCAAATTAGCGGCTCTTTGTTTCTGAGTGTTCAACATTGCCCTCTCGTTCTCAAATTTCATCAATTTAAGGAATGCTAGTCCTAATTGCCCCATAGTACATGTCTTTTTATTGTTTAACAAACGATTCAGCCTAATTTGGGAAAGTGTAATGAGATTTCAATGACAAATTATTCCAATCAAGGAAAACTAAGCATCACAATGTAATTTCAAAAGAATCATTGAGAAGCTCCAAGTTGTGCTAAGCATGTATCACTAAATAACATTGAAAGAGAAACCTGCTTTGATGCAAAAGTCAGGTGTTGCTCAAGCTCATTGAGTCTCTCTTTCTTCTCCAAAAACTCCTTATCATCTCCCGCCACAAGCGGCCTCGATCCACCTCCCCAATCGTTAACAATTGACTATTTCAATTCCTTGAACAATTTCAGCAAATCCCTTCCAACTCTTGCTGGTTGTGCCGTATCCTGCGTCTGAACTGCTGCATTCATTGAGTCGTTAAGCAACTGCTTTGGGAAGAGAAGCTTCCCTTGAACCTGCAAGAACGCTCGCAACTCATTGCTCTTCCTGATCACAGGATGTGCTACGAGCCTCGTCAAATACTTCTCCAGTGCCACTCTCCTTAGTTCCACAAATTCATGCTTTTACATCACTTGACTTTCCACTACACTCTTTTCCGGCCTTGGAGGAACAAAAAACCCTCTGTAACCCTTACTCAACTCATCCGCCAATGCTACTACGTCCCTGAAGCGCCTCCTGACACTGAATTCAGATCCGCCATACTCAGGCATGTTCGTTTTGGTAGTAATGGAGTAGGTAACGAAAGTGTTGCCTCCAGGAACAATTGAATTGGAGGTCTCCACCTCTTTTTGTGGATTAGAAACCAATATTTTCAAATACTCGGAGCTCGAGGAAGGGGATCTAGTGGCCACGGCGGACTCACCGTCGTCTCTGACATGATTGTGCCTGAAAAAGAAACTTACTTGAAACTTGAAGACTCAGAGGACTCAAGAGACAATAAAAGCAACCGGGCAGATTTTTGGATAGCAAATTGCAAGTGAGAAAATTCGGTGGGGAACCTCGCTTTATATAGGGGAAGTGCCGCCCAGCCGGACGAATAAGGGAGCGACACGTGGCAGCCGAAATGATCCATAATGATAACTTCTCGGGAAGACGAAACGGCGGGACAAATCGGCGGCGCCGTGCCGGATTCCAATAAAGATCCCCCCGCGTTTGACGCCTGGGATTTCAAAATTCAAATTTCAAATATATTTAGTTTGGCGCTAGTTCAAAAGTGCCATTTTCATGCCAAAAACCACTTGGGAAGTTGAAATTTCAAAAGATGCTCGCATATGCTTCCCGCCCCTGATGGTACCCACAGAGCCGGGAATCGGAGGACTCCTTGATGGGTAATAACCCATGGATACCACCCGGTAGGTTCGACTGACCGGGAGGTATCAAATCCAACACCCCCTGACCCAGTCGACCCGGACAGTCTGATCGGTCAGGGGTAAGAAGGTCCCAAACCAAAGACGTGGCTTCTTCTGACGAAGGCATACAAACTGACCAGTCAGGGATCTGACCGGTTGGATGAGCAAAGACGTGCTTAGAGATTATTATAAATAGGAATAAAAGCCTCATTTGTGAGGCATGTTTTAATTAACCCACACGGCTTGTACTTTGTAATAGTCCTAAGATCATTAATAACAAATCGGGTTACAGGTGTTTCCACTTACAGCCCTTCCAATCATTTATACTTAATATTTGCACGGTATTTACACCAACAATCGGAAAGGATGATGTCAAGCTTGGGCAAACCTTGGTACCTCCTAGGCGCCTGCGAACCTGCCGGGTGGTATCAGTGGGTTATACCTACCAATATTCATCTAAGCGTAGCCTTTTGATTCTCTTGGCCTCTTGATTCTTTTTTTAATTTAAACCACTCAAAATAATTCACATCTCCACCCCATTACTTTTTTGTCACGCCCCCCATTCAAGCAACATGACACATTTTCATATTACTCCACGTCATATCTCTTTTCATTACGTCAAGCCTCAGTTAAGTTATAACACATGGTCAATTAAAATTTAACACACATTCACAACTTGTCACATTCCTTCATACTCACCATAACACATATTTTTTATCATTCTACATCATACATCTTTACAATCCGTTAAGCCCGTCATAATACATGGTCTAATTTCAACTAAAAATAATCAACATCTCCATCTCATCACTTTTTCGTTACCCCCTCTGATGGTGTAAATTACCACGCAAATGCTAAGTATAATTAATCGGGAGGGTTGTAGGTGGAAACACCTGTAACCCGGCTTGTTATTAATGAAAGTAGGAACTTATTACAATCAGTACAGGCCGTGTGGATTAATTAAAGCATACCTCACAAATGAGGTTTTTAGGGGTATTTATAACAAAACTAAGCACGTCAAGCACGTCTCTGGTTATCAAACCGGTCATTCGTCTGACCGGCTGCATAAGAGTACTACCCAACCGGCTTCACGACCCGGTCTGAGAAGGATGCGCTCTGTCACTTCCGTCACCACCCAGTCGGACGAACCAACCGGGTGGTATCCATGGGTTATTACCCATCAAGAAGTCCTCTGATTCCCGGTCCTGTGGGGACAATCAGGGGCGGGAAGCACATGCGATTATTTCTTGAAATTTGAACTGCCCAGCCGCTTTTTGGCGGGAAAATTGTCTCGGAAAACCAGCGCCAACCCAAAATATTTGAAATTTGAATTTTCGAAATTTAAATTTCGAAAACCGGGTGTTCAAGGCGGGAGAATCTTCTCGAAGTCGGGTACGGAGCCGCCGATTCATTGTGCCGTTTCGTCTTCCCGAGAGGTTATGATGAGAAACCATTTCGCTCGCCACGTGTCATTCTGCCATTCGTCCGTCAGGGCAGCACTCCCCCTATATAAAGCGAGGTTCTCCCTAGAATTTCCTCACTTGCAAATCTTCAATTCAAAAACTGCCCGGCTGCTTTTGCTTTTTCACGAGTCCTCCGAGTCTTCTAATCGTCTCCAAGTAAGTTTCTTTCATTCCTTTTCTGAGTCATGTCAGACCGTGAGGATAGCCAGAACCTCTCCGTTCACTCTTATGGTTCTGGCGGCCAGTCTCCCACCTTTGGTTCCTCCTCTTCTTCTTCATCCTCTGACTCTGAGCACCCGGCTACTTCTCCACAGAAGAAGCCGGTTGATGCTTCCACTTGTGCCCCTTCTTCTTCCGTGGCGCAAGTGGTCTCGGTTGCCCAGCCTGGGGACGAGGGCTTCATCCCGCTTGACGACCGGAAGCTCTAAGAGCAACCGTCGTATATGCAGAAGCCCCAAGTCCACGAGCTGCGTAGTCTGATGCCTGATGGGTATCAATTGACCTACCGGGCAACGTGGAAGAGCATTATTCCTCTCCACGTCGGTACGTCGATTGGTATCCACTACCATTCTGTCAAGGACTTGGTTGAATTCTCTATTCACCCATTCAAAGTCCTTTTCCTTGAGTCATACGGGATCATGCCCGGGCAGTTGGTGTTAGGTTATGGAGCCTGATGCTTAATGATTAAGTTTGCTTAATGGTTAAGTTTACTTAATGGCTGAGTTTACTTAATGGCTAAGCTTTCTTAATGGTTAAGTTTACTTAATGGCTAAGTTTGCTTAATGACTAAGTTTTCTTAATGGTTAAGTAAGTAGAGGTTGTAATGCCTATATATATTCTCCTTTGTAGCTAATTTTTGTAGAGAGGCAAGAGACAAATTCTCTGTAATTGTATCTGCCTGAAATCATCAATAAACACATCTAGCCGCCGTGGAAGTTTACTCACGGGGTGTTACCACGTTATTTCACGTGTTTCACTTTCTCTCTACTTTTACTCTCTCGTTTTTTCTTCTCCTTCTTCATCGGATTTCTATGAGTGTTCTTGATTCGATCCTAACAACTGGTATTAGAGCTCAGGAGAATCAACACGATCACTGAAGATGGAGAGTTCGAAGGTTGGAATCGAGAAGTTTGATGGATCTGATTTTGGTTTCTGGAAGATGCAGATCGAAGACTATCTGTACCAGAAAGATCTTCACGAACCCTTGACTGGGGTGAAGCCGGATTCCATGACAGAGGAGCAGTGGAAGCTCAAGGATCGTCAGGCGTTAGGGATGATCCGGTTGACTTTGACGAAGAACGTGGCGTTCAACATAGTGAAAGAGAACACTACAGCGGGTCTAATGAAGGCCCTATCAAATATGTACGAAAAACCATCTGCGATGAACAAGGTATATTTGATGCGTAGATTGTTCAATTTACAGATGCCTGAAAGTGGATCAGTGGCTAATCATATAAATGATTTTAATATGATTGTGAGTCAACTGTGTTCTGTGGAAATCAATTTTGAGGATGAAATTAAGGCGTTGATTTTGCTGTCATCTATGCCCGAGTCTTGGGATACTGTTGTTGCTGCAATTAGTAGTTCTCGTGGGTCTGAGAAGCTGAGGTTCGATGAAATCCGTGATGTTGTTCTTAGCGAAAGTATTCGCAAGAGAGAAATGGGTGATTCATCGGGTAGTGCTCTCAGCGTTGACCGAA